AATACGTTTTTGTAATATACTTGCAGTGGTTCCGATTTCACATATGTGCCTTTTTGCAGTATTAGGGGCTTTTAAAAACAATTTCTAACATATAAAGGTGATCCTGAATCTTCTGAGGGATTTCGTTTCTGGTTGTTTTTGCCAAATAGATGCTATTTTCCTGTTGTGCTAATTTGTATTACAATAGCGTTCAGTAACGATTGCTACTGTTTTCAGTGCGATCAAACACAACACAGAGAGACTCCTTGCCCAGAGAACCCGTTTTTATTCTGGCCAAAGGGAGAAATCAATAAACATTGTATTGTCTCATAGATTTCACTAGTTTTATTTAAAAAAAAAAAACAACCAAACAACAACAAAACAAGGCATTTTTTCTGTGTCAGTAATTTACAGTGTATGCCACTGTCCTAATTATATTTCTGATTCTTTGTCTAACCTGTCATGAATACAGCCAGTGCATTTCTGAAATAAGGGAGTTAGTATCCTGGGCGATTTCCGTGAGGAATCCCAGGAAGCAGAATTTGAGTGCTTTCCAGACAAGTCTATGTGGCCCTTTGCCACTTCTGAGCGGCCCCATCTTAACCTCCAGACATCATGGAAGTGTTTGAAAGTCATCAAATGGCTGAGTTAATCGCTAGGAAGTTGTCTCCCAACATGAAGGACTTAGATTAAAGTAGAGAGAGCACAGAGAAAATCATTACAGCGAGGTGAAAATGATGGCTCGTCTTCTTCATGAATGTAACATGCAAACAGCATGAAGTGTGAAGATAACATGAGTACTTTAAAAATTATTTGACATAAGGTTTTTAAGCATTCAAATCTTAAAATTCAAGTAAAAGTCTGCATTTGCTTGTATCTTGATATCAAAAGAGCAGAACTTGATGCCAGGCTCTGAATTGTCATGGGACATTCAGAGATGGACCCAGGGTTCCTTACAGAAGTTGCCTTGCTTGAGGACTGGACCAATTGCCCAGCTTAGGGAAACTGCGCAAAGTTTTGCACAGCTCTGCTCGTGGGAGCAATCACGTTACAGCCAAAGCTCTCAGCAGAGCTGCTGCACCACTTAAAGCAGAAAGATGTCCAAAAGCGTGAACAGACTTTTCCCTGGACCTAGTTCAGACTGTGGAAACATTTTCAGTTGCTATTAAAAAGCATCAAATTACAGACAACAATTTAAAAATCTTTAGGCAAGCAGAATAATTGGAGTTTAAGGAACTGCTTAACTGGAATTTCACCCAGTCGTGACTGCCTTTTAAGATCGTTGGCAGCAAGAGCCCATGAACAGGTTTCGTATATTAACTGAGGTAGAATAAATATGCCTTTATTTCCATCTGCTATTTCAAAGGCTATGGAAATATCAGAAAGAAGTTGTTAGCCAATCATGCTTTAATCGCAGCGCTGCAAACGTGCTTTCAATTGGGCTGCTACAGGGTGTTGCCTCACGCCATTATGGAGAGGTGACTTCTTAGCTCCTTGTGCTCTTGAGGTTTGATCTAAGCCTTGCTCTAACTTCACCTGGGCTTGGATCCCATACTTAAAATCTTGGTTAATTTAAAAAAAAAAAAAAAAAATAAAAATATTGTGACCAGAATGCCAGGATGCAGCCAGGGATGTGTAGGAAACCCAACATAGCCCACATCAGAGAAAATACCGTAAGAACAGTGCTGTGCATGCCTGAATGGTTTGTTCCTGCGTGGTAATTATGTGCTGTTTCACGTTGTTGTTTTGGGGAAAAAAACATTCTTGAACATCAGGAAATAAATCGGCAGTTTTAACATGATTTCAGAGGGAGAGTGTTTTGACATGAAGTGATTTATTTCAATTACAGTTTTGCTTACTTAGCTAGCCGTGATTAAAACCAGTGTTGCCACAAATGCAAAAATACAGAAATGTGAATGCCAGATAAAAATAGAAATTGCCTCTATGGTTTATACTGTTATAACACCTTTTGACTGCAAATTTCTTGATTTGAGTGGGAGGAGAGCAGGTACCACCATTTGGGGTACAAGTAGTGATCAGAGTGCAGTTGTCTCTTATCAAACAGCGTGGTTTTAATTGATATTAAAGATTAAGTCCTGTTCCTAATTATAATACCAGTGGGCAAAGCTTGACTGCAGATGTCCTTGTGCCTGAATTTCTGATCTGAAGAGCAAAGATGATGCTCTTCCAACTCCGTGCAGTTACTGGACATTGAAGAGGAAAGCATGATTAGCGTGCTGCAAGATGTAGTAATTGCAGGGTACATTTCTACTTTGCTGCCCGTTCGGTTGCTGCTCTCCGTCTGCCTCAAAAGCAGTGCCGAGAGGTGTGTTTTCTCATTCCCAGGCCTGCTCATACCTATCGAGACCCGCCAGACGTGGGGAGCCTTTGTGAAATCTCGTGTAATGAGGGCCTGATTCATACCCCACTGCGATCCCAGGGAAAATCCCCAGTGGCATCATCGGGCTCTGGCACGTGGCCAGAGTCTCGGTAACTTCCTTATTTCTCTTTCGTACATAGAGGATATTCCTCAGCGGTACCAAGGCAGATGAAAACATAAATCTTGTCCGCAACTATCTTGTATGAGTAATTTTTCCAAAAGTAAATAAATCATCCCTGTTTCCTCCTACCCACAGCACCTGGCAAACTGCTAACTGAAAAAAACGAGAAAACGTTGTTTCATTTGTGAGCCAACTTAAATCATGCTACAAATCTTTATTTTTAATTCCTTGTTAGAAAACAGAACCAACTGAAACTGGCTGGCAGAGAAAATGCGCCCCATTTTTTTTCCTCTGCCTGGCTTAGTAATGTAACTGCCAGTTTCTGTTTTCGCCTCCGTAGAATTATATGCCTCTCTTTGAAACTTCTGACAAATCGGTCTATTTTCATTCTCCCTCTGCCATAAATCCAATCCATATGTCTTTAAAACATCCTTTCATAGCTTTAACATGGAAAAGGAAGTGGCTTAGGCCCTGTATAGGAGGCTACAGTGTATTTCAAGCGAGCTCTTCTAGTTTGCATGCATCACTTCTGTTAGCTCTTAAAGCCTCGACTTCCTAATTATTCAGGTTACAGAGGGCATTGGCAGTGTTGTCTGCATTAACTAATAGTGATGTACAGTGAAGAAGCACAACAGGATAAATCATTCCCTTATCCTCAAAATATCCAGGAAGTTTTTGATGCAGCCCTTGGCTTTACCACCAAGCAGGATGCAGAGAGGATGTGAAAAGGGTAGGAGAGATCAATTCCGCATAAAATTTCAAAAGAAAACATCAAGACAAAGAAACAAAGCTCTTGCACAATGCACTGCCATTCAGCTGGCAGGGTTTTGTTTGACAAGAATACACAGCACCTATGTGACAGGAGTAAAGTATCTCCGCATCTAAGGCTGAACTGAGGTCGGAAGGTGACGGTGGGAAGGAAATGTGGGTCTAAGCTGACATATATTGGTATGGCTGTGCATGGATCAAAGTTGAAAAATCAAAAATACAGGATGCAGCAGGGTAAGAGCACAGGCAGTCGTGGCTATAACTGTCCTCGTCTGAAATCGTGGAGAATTTGGGCCAGGGTGCGCTACTGGAATTGCAGGATAGATCTGTAGTTATGGTAGCAACTGAACGCAACTGAAAATACGGTAGCAACAAGGGTATGGGAACACGGGTGGAGTGGACTGCAGACAGCTTTTCAGAGTTGACCCACACTGCGGATGCAGTGTCACGCTGTGTTTGATCAGATCCACCCCAGGGTGCCACCAGCAGAGGCAGGTCCACTCTCTCGCCCCAGCCCCAGTCATCCTTCCATGCTCCCCACCTTGCAGCAGCTCCAAGAGGCCATGATCATCCCCTTCCCTCTGTGCCACACAGGGCAATTGTGTGGCCAAAGGGCAACAAAAATTCAGCTCACTAATTTGAAGAGAAAGTATTCAACTAACGGATTTCTGGGAGCGAAGCAGGGGAAGCAATTTTTTTTTTTTTTTTGGATCTCTGTGTTGCACTGACTTGTGTTGTGGCTGCAGATCTGCCATGCTCGACGAAGATAAGGGGTGAAAAAGATGACTGGGGGGATGTGTGAATGGCTGCCCCTTTCAGAGACTGCCTCCATCTTAATGTGAGACTGTATGTCCAGTTTTTTGTAGCATCCCCAGTCTTCGTGCCCGTTCCCAGCCAATTCACCCAAATGCTCTCTAATTTGCCAACAAGGCAAATGACTTGTAGGGATATGCACAAAGTAGGATGGGATCCCAATAATGACTACACAAAACTGCTTGTAAATCCATCGTTTTGTTCAGTTACTGTGCATTAATGCTCATGTGTGGTTACTGTGCATTAATGCTCATGTGTGCAAGAAGATAAAATGGAAGGAGCGTGTGTGTGGTAAATGTGTGTGTACAATGTAATTATCTTTCTAATCTCTCATAGAGGGGTCATTTATAGAGATGAAAATATAGTCAGCCTCAAAACTTGCGGGCGTAGTTTGGCATACCCAAAGGTTCACACATGTAGAAACCTCAGCCTGCTCATTTTAAACTGCAGGCAGGTTCAAAGAACTGGCATAGCCCATGTTTTTGTTTTCAGAGTTGCAAAGACTGCAGCTACCATTTACCTTAGATGGACTCAAGGTTATCTTCCAACCTCTAAAAATCAGGTCCTTATATCTAGGAATCTGCATACAGCTGTTCAAAAGCAAGCTGTGCGTACACAGCCGAATTGTTGTATAAACAGTATTAGAGACTTCACTAAAGCTTTTCATGTAGTTTTATCTTAACTGCAATTTGTTTCTAGTTTTTAAAGGCTGTAGAAGCCTCTAGCCTTACTCCCTAGAGCCTAGTTTCACTGTTTTGGCTATTCCAATGGTATTTACAGCACCATTTGATTTTGTTTGAACTGTTCAAAAGATCTCAAGTCCCCCAAGAAATATGCAAATGTCTTCCCATTCTCTATCGCTCCTATCAGTAGAGAGACTTTCTTTTCTCCTCCTGTAACTTCACTTGTAATAGGACTGTTCTTTGCTCTCATCCCCAGGTGTGCTGTCTCTGCCTGCCTACTTTAGCCCATACAACGATGGCTCTGTGTGCAGCGACGGACGGGCTGATGCTTACGCCCAGCTGGAACTCCGAACTTTAGAGCAGTCTCTGTTGGCAACTTGCGTTGGAAGCATCTCTGAACTGAGTAAGTTTTGGATGTAATCGAACGTGGGTTTCTTTCAGCGAAGCAGGAGAGCCAGTCCCTCTGCTATTGAGGTCCGTGGGAGCGTTGCCATTGTTGACAGTGTGAGCAGTATTTGGCTAACGTTGTGTAAGATTTAATTGTCTCGTGGTGCTGTTTATGAAAATCAGGTTGTTCCATTAGACTGCTTTATATTCACCTTGGAGATGTGTAAGATGTGGCTTTTCTAGCCTTTTGGTAGTTAGTGGTGTTAGTGCCAACAGAAGATGGATGCTTTTGCCTAGGTGCCTCTGGAGGCTTTCTTGTACATTTGTGGAACACAGCAGTGGCACCTCCCTTAGACAGTGGAGAGGGTTGTCTTTGCTAGTGTTTGTGCAGTGGAAACGTCAAGGGTGCAGGACATTCAAGTTTTTTGGTTACTTAAAAAACAAAAAGTGGAGAAAAAAAAAATCTGAGAGCACTTTGGTAACAAAAACTTGTTCAAAACCTTCTTTTTTAATGCTAACTAAATGAAACGTTCAATTCCTAGACTACTCACAAGGCCCCTTTAAAGTAAACAAAAATGATTTGTGTTTTCCCAGTCTACTTTTCCTTTGCAACATTTCTGCTGGCATCACTCTCTTAGTCTCCGCCATCTGAATGCTAATGAATGTCAGGGCCAGCAAGGAGTTTGTGGGTTTCACCATTTATTTTGCAACCTGCCTTAATTTGAGGTTTTCAAATTCCTTTAACACACCTCTATTTATCCTGGAACACAAGAGAATGTTTGTAGCATGGGCCTAAGATTGAATACAGCTTCCTCTCTCTCTTCCCCCGTTCCTGCTTTGGCCAACTTGGTCATTACATCTAGTGAATAGATCTCCTGATACAGTTGCCTACTTTTTTTTTTAAAGATGTTGCTGCCCATTGCCAGAAAAATAAAGAGAGTGAGTGTGCAAAGGAGAAGAAACGTTATTCTGAGCTGAAAATTTGAATTCCAGATGCATTTCTGCTATAACTGCACATACTTCTATGTTAGTACCAACGCTAGATGATTCACGATACTCTTGTAAAACGTTTAGATGCTGTAGAATTAGGAGCCACTGAAGTGGAAAGGCAGAGATGTTAGAAAGTTTTTCTGTTCTGAAGTGCGTCCTTAAACTGTGTATGCACTATACAACAAACAAATGGCACCGCATTACACTGCAAACTGAGATTTTTTTAATGCTCCTTCGACCTGAACCACTAATAATGTTGTCATGTTTAGAGACACAGTAGCTTTGGGGGGGTTTCTCTCTAATCTGAGTAACACTAGAACCCCATGGGTTCAGCTGAAGGTTGTTTGGCAAATTCGGTGTATTGCTGTTAGATGTAAGTGAACAAATAATAACTTCCTAAGAATTTCAGAGGGAGGCGTGACTAATTCATATGCGGCACAGCTAAGTTCAGGCTGCTTTCTCAGGAGCCAGCTTTGCGATGGGGCGACTATTTCAGTCCCATCCTTTCCCAGTATTGTAACTGTAGGACACAATAGAGTAACGTTTCCTGTGAGAGTTTTGGGGGACTGTAAACCATAAGGCAACAGAGGATTCTCCCAAGGAAAAAATAGATCCTGGCTATGTATAGTAATCTATAGTAATCATTCAGCTCACTGGTATGGCAGTCACACTACTCAAAAGTTGTAGTGTCTGAAGCCTTTATTGCAAATCTCTTGAGAGTTTGTAATGCACCACAATAAAAGGAGAGCAAACAGGGTGTTCCTAAAGCAAACTTATTACACAAAGACCAGCTTTATGTGACTGCATAGCTGCTGTCTTGGGGTCATTGCCCTGTGAACATCTTAAAAATCTGCAGTCCTAAAACCCTTTCCGAGTAGAAACTGAGTAATACAGGTCGCCTTCTTCCAGGCCTCAAGTCCACCAGTACTCTGACACAGAGGCAGGTTGGCTCAAGTTAAAAGAACCAAGAGGGCTGGGCAGCTCAGAAAGCTCCTGGATTGAGCTTTTTACAAGGTTTCAGGGCAAATTTCTGGCATATCTTGTGACAGTGAGCACGATAAAGATTGGCTTTTTAATAAGAGAGTCAGGTCTTGTTATTCTGGAGAAACCTGCAGCTAGAGTGAGAATGAGAGAAGCAGACCCCTAAAAGAAGGGATTTCTATATTGAACGTAACATCATTAATTTGTCGTAAGTGCCTGGGTAGAATATCATAACCCAGTTGAAAGAAATGGGAATTATCCTGTAACATAAAATGGTGATGCTGGCAATGAGAGTAAAGTATTTGTACTGGTGTTACTGGCTTTGCCTCGTGAAACCTATGCTCCCAGGTTGGGCAGTGGACATTTTACAAAGATATCAGTAATTTTTTTAGGCAGACAAGAAACTGGTATACGTGATTGGAAAAAGGAGAAAACCAGCATTAAAGCAGGATAGAAAAATCACTGTAAAGCTGTTGTTCTGAACGTATGGTGACTGGGAGAAGTTTCATTCTATATTTTCTAGCTACAACTTGTCATTTGAAAGGAAGTTAAATTTCTCTTACAACAACCTGCAAAGTGGCAGCTTGAGGACAGCTTGTGCCTTTGTGGAGGAAAAAGAATGTGTGCACACGAAAGACAAAGCTACATGAGATTTTATTTAGTTCAAAAAGTGTACTTAAGAGGGCTGTGGGTGAATAGTAAAGAGGTGCTTTTGCATTCTTTCTCTTTGTGCAGGTGATTTGGTATCACGAGCAATGCACCACATGCAGTGCTTGAACACCGTCCGCCCAGGAATGAGTCCCATTCGGCAAACCCGGCAGCAGCAACCCATCTCCTGGTCCCCTGATGCTCTTCACACCCTCTACTACTTCCTACGCTGTCCTCAAATGGAGTCCATGGAGAATCCCAACCTTGACCCTCCAAGAATGACCCTGAACAATGAACGGTATGTAGGTCGGTCAACTCTTAGTAGTCAAGGAGTTAGGCTAAGAAGGTCTCCTTTTGTAGAGTAACTGCCTGTGCATGGGCAGCTCAGGCCACTTTGTGGGATGCTACCTATCAGGCATCAGTTATTCCTGCAGTCAAGCCAGATTATGTTGTCAGTGTTGCCAAGTTTATGAAGCCTTGGAATTGGAACTGGAAAGTGAGCTGTTTTTTCATGCAATCTTTCCGAGCGAGGCATATACTCTATGCTGCCAACAAGGCTTGTCTAGAGATGCTGCCAAAAGTACATGTGGTTGCCTAAAGCAGTAAAGACCTTACCAAAGAAAATGTTACCTTCTGAATAGTGCCAATTAACAATTGTCATCATTCTCAGGAAAAGCGATGTCATTTGCAGTGGAGAGGTTTGAAGGGATTTATGAACATCCTTCTTAAGGATTACTTTAGTTGGTGCTGTGTGTCTGGTATAAAAAGAAATTTATATAAGAAGCCAATAACTAAACAGAAAATGCAGTGGGTCTCCCTACCTTCTGCCAGCATCACAACCGACACTGAAAGTAAGCCCATTATTAGAGCGGGTCAGAATTTTTCCAGTGGGATGTTTTTTCTGTTAGAAACCTCCCTGGTTTCCTTCCTGCCCAGCTCCTTGGCAGTCTGCCTGACAGGCCAGTGGCAGGAGAGAGCTGAGGAGCCCTCAGAGCCCTGGCCACGAATTGAGTTCCTTGACAGGTCAGGCAGCTCCTGCTCTCCTGCTCCTCAGCTCAAAGGCAGACCAATAGCTGGCTGCCTTGCACTTGCACCGTGCAGAGAGACCCGGGCCTCTCTGGACTTGTTAGATTTCCCTGGTTTGAAATGCATACCCCATTTTGTATTTATTTCAGAAATCTTACCTAAATGGGAAATTCTGGTTTCTGATTAACTCTCTTCAGTATTTATGCTAGCTTTACTCTTTGGATTTATTTTTGCCTGCTGGACATTGGGCCAATGGCTTTATCCTGGCCCTTCCCGAAAGCATCCTGTGTTTGAGAAGTTTCGCAGTGTAGAGGCAGAGTGTTTTGAGGCCACGTTCACAAAACAAAAAAGCAAGGTGCTTGTTGGACAGGTGAGCGGGGAAAGGAGAACATCTCTGCAGCTTTGTAAATAACTTGGTTTCTTTTTCCCACCTTCAGCTTTACTGTACTGAGCCCCAGCTTCTAAAGTTGATATGAAATCACAGTAACATACAAATAATTAATCCTTAAAATTCATTCTAATAAAACCTAAAAAAGTTAGCCCCCTCTCTCTTCTTCCTAGCCTCTTCTGCATGTGTGGGGATTATGGTGCTTTTTCCTCTGCTCCATGCTGGGTACCCTGTTGTGGTTTTTTTATTGAGACACTTCATGATTGCTCTCAGACTGCACTGTCTTCAGTCTGTGCATTTCTGATGCTGCAAGTCAACCCCGACTCATGCAGACCTACATTGGCCTGCACCAAGCCAGTGCACTGGCTGACATCAGCAGCCCTAAAGGCTTCTTGTAGCTGCATTCCCCATCACTGGAGCTGTGGCTGATGGCTTCGTGGCCAGAGCGTGGCTAGTCAGGAGTGAGGAGACCTCTTGAGAATAATAGCAGATTGAACTTTCTCCTTTTAAGGCTCTGAATATTCAGGCCACGGTGCAGAAAAACATACTGGACAGAAGGCAGCCTCTGTAATTTCAGTCTTGGCAAGTTACTTTAGGTTAAGGGAAAACTTAGAATCATAGAATGTTTTGGGTTGGAAGGGACCTTTAGAGGCCATCTAGTCCAACCCCCCTGCAGTCAACAGGGACACTGCTAACTAGATCAGGTTGCTCAGAGCCCCATCCAACCTGGTCTTGAATGTTTCCAGGGATGGGGCCTCCACCACATCTCTGGGCAACCTGTTCCAGTGTTTCACCACCCTCACTGTAAAGAGTTTCTTCCTTATATCCAGTCTAAACCTACCCTGCTTCAGTTTAAAACCATTACCCCTTGTCCTGTCACAGCTGGCCCTACTAAAAAGATTTCCCCCATCTTTCCTATAGGCCCTCTTTAAGTACTGAAAGGCCGCAATCAGGTCTCCCTGCAGCCTTCTCTTCTCCAGGCTGAACAAGCCCAACTCTCACAGCCTGTCCTCATAAGAGAAGTGCTCCAGCCCTTGGATCATTTTAGTAGCCCTCCTCTGGACCCGCTCCAACAGTTCCATGTCCTTATGCTGAGGGCTCCAGACTTCAAATAAATAAAATATAAAGTTGTCACTCTTAAGCTGCCTGTTCTGCCGTAATATTTTGCACGTGGCTGGTCTGTGTAGCTACCTCCACTGGTGACTTGTTTTCATTTTCTCTTGCTTGCTGAACCATCTTTCTGTACGTTATTGTAGCTTGTACTAGAACGACTTCTTTGAGGTCTCAGTCTGGTGGGAACTCAACTATTTTACAAAGTAAAAAAGATTGTCTTTCTGTTTTTCTGATCCTCCCCCAAAGTCCTTTCAGAAAGAACAATCTGTGAGCAAAACTGTAGCATCAGAGGGAGCTGATGTACACATGTGAAGACCCAAGAGGAATTAAGTGAAGTTGAATAAAATAGGAAAGTAGCATGGCTGCACAACTCGGAGCCCATTGGTAGCTCTGTTTTTTGGGATCATTAATCTTAATCAAATGCCCTACCTAGTGCAAGATGATTTATTTTGCATTTCCTGCTTGCACACTGTGCAAAGAATGAGTTTTCAGGGGGACAGGTTCTGTAAAGTTGTACCACTAGTTCCCACAGCTGTACAGCTGAAGCTGCTGAACAGCTTGTATCAGAAATGTAGATTAAGCTTTCTATTTTGTTTTGTGTTCTTTTTGGTACTCTCAGTGTAATGATGTTACTGCAGCTACTTGTTTTGTACACTGAGGATAACAAATGAGTTAAATCAGGAGCGCAGCTATCTCTCCAATTGCTCCCAAACAATGCTCTTCACATGGTTCGCTGGCGTTTTTTTGGAATGCAGGCTGCAACTCTATTCTATTTTAAAATCCGCACTAGATCCTATAACAGCTGGTGTAAGGGAAATTTCTGCCATTTTTTTCTGACCAGTACTTAGCTGTAAAGGAAATTAAAGAGGATATATTAAAATGGAGCAAAAACTGACATGAGTGGAAAAAAAACCCCAGAACCTGAGGACTATTGGTTTAAACAATTGGCTCTGAAAAATTTATGAAACCTGGAAATAAAATGAATACTGCGTGGTATACCAGAATAAACGTCCAACTCTTACCTTTCATTTGTTCCAAGATGTATTTGTATATGTCTTACTGTCTTGACCTCTGCGCACATTGTTTAGCATAGCTGGTGGGATAAATATTGCTAGCAGAGCTTTATACAGGAGATAGTTTACTCTTTCCTAGCTTAAGAGGAGAGATGGTTGAGGCTGTGTGTGAAATGCTGGACTCATGGCATGATGGATGAGGGCACTGATTCACCTAATGTGACTTGGCAAAGCTGTGCAGCCCAGTTTTTTTTATTCTTTCCGGAGCTCTGCTAAATCAGCTGCAAACTCTGCATTGCTCTTTTGTGCATTTATGCACGCTCTCTCTCTCTGGAATATACTTGTGATGTGCGCTGCAATCCCAGTTTGTTTTCTGCTGAAAACAGTCTTGGTCACAAGCAAGGACAATAACACTGACCTATTCTGCATTTGCTTCTGCTTCAGTTTCTAGGCTGCTATATAATTCTGAACACCAATCTGAAATTTAGCAATGAGGCAGTTAGAGCTGCAGACTTGGTAAAACCTGATCTTGAGAAGATCTGTGAAGCCACATTGATTCAGTGGAAGGAACTGCAGTTGTTAGTACATCTAGAGACCTGACAACCTACTGTCCGTCTTGCCTGGCTTTCTGTTGCCTGTGAGCTTTCTGCGTGTCACACTGCAGTGCAAAGTGCTAGGAAAATCACAACACTGTAGAGTCTGGAAGGTCTTTACTGTACTTCACTTCAACATGAAGGCAAGCATAGAATTCATGCTCTGAAACCATGCCTAATGGAGGGTGTCATATGCCATGAAGGGCTTTAAAAAAACCTAGCCAAGCTTCTGAACATACTCTGCAGCAAACTGTACAAGATATAAAAGCATACACACTTGCACTTAGGTATGCAAGGCACCCCAATGAACAGAGCCAGTTTAAACTCATATAAGCTGTATGCCTTATCCGTGCTAAATTCTGTGGCAACTAAAGAACTGAGGTGGGTAGAGTCCTGCAGATATGGGGTGGATGTAGTTGTCTCTCTTGAGCTTGACAGAGAGAGGAGCTTTCTGTTTTGGTCTCCAGCATGTGAATGATTTGGGATACCAATAGATGGAAACTCTGGAAAGTTTGTGGGTTAGTTATAACTGGTTCTGATACTTACCTCCAGGTAATGGCCTTGAAGCAGAAGAAGGTGAGGAAGCAGAATTAGAGAGAAAAAGCACCCAGGTATCATAAGCAAAACATTTGAAACACTTCCACAGTGAATGCAGCTGCTTGCTGTATGACCGAGCCATGACCCACTCGGAACCCCAAAATGACCGTATTTGCTGCACAGACAGTAAACCATCTGCTGTTTGGTGTCAGATAGGAAGTGTTTTGCAAACACAGAGTGCCACTTGTTGCAATACTTTGGCAAACGAATTAGACCCTGAGGTGAGAACAAGTTGTGTTTCTGAGTAACGGTAACACCTGACTGCCTGAAGGCTAAGAGCTTGTCTGTGTCATCAGAGAGCACATCCGTCTTCGTTGCTGCAAAAGAAGTGTCTCTGCTGGGCAATAAGATTTTTAGAGTTTCTTGGAGATCATAGTCTGTGTTGTGTCAGAGGTCAGACAATGTGTTTTTGGACCATGGAGAGTGAGCAGATGCGTGGCACTCCCTCTCTCTCTGCTCTGTTTCCGCTCTGGGTTTTTTCCCGTTGCTTATGTCAGGCTGGCTGAGCTTGGGAGCACTCCACAGTGTGAGATCATGTCCCAGAGCAGCACAGCATGTTTGCTGAGAT